CTGTCTCTCTCTCTCCCTTCATCATTTCCTTCTTTCCTTTTTGGAAATTGACCGGGAAATTGACCAAACAATGAGGTTTTCTTTCTCTTCCAGAAAAAGGAAGGAGAGATAGAGAGGAATGTCTTTCAAGATTATAGGTTTGTTCTTGACTATATATTTTTTAGTTTGTCTGTGGATTTTTTTATTTTTTTTTTTATTTTACATTTCATTTATTATATCAATTATGTACGTCTTGTTATACTATTTAATGTACTTTACTTTTTCCATTTGTTCTTGTCTTGGTTTTAGGAAAGAAACTCTCTATTTAATATTCTTAGATTCACTGCATTTACTATCATCATCATTATTATTATTTTGTACACAGCTTTTCCTTTTCATCTTCACTGCTTATCCCTTACAATTAATTTCCCACACTCAGCCCACATAGATTCAGTCTATTATCCGTTCTTCTAATTATTATTCGAATCGTATCTCTCTCTCTTTCTTTCTCTTTCTCTAATAAGGAATGCACCTTTCCTCAGGGCCGGATCCTCCTCCTTCAGCGCTGACCTTTGACCTTTCGCCGGAAGTCTTCGTTCTCCCAGAGCTTGGCAAAAGTCCTGTAGGAGTCATGGAGTCTCCACCATAGATTATGCAAGAGGGGGACTCTTCCTTCTGCAGAAAAATTTACACGCCTCGCATTTTGATCGCGGAGTTAAAACACCCGCAGGCATACTCATAAAGAGGGAGAAGGAGAGAGAGGGAGAGATTCTCTTTCTTTTTCTCTTTCTCTCTCTCTCTATCTCTCTCTTTCTCTTTCTCTTTCTCTTTTTCTTTCTCTTTCTCTTTCTCTCTCTCTCTCTCTCTCTCTCTTTCTCTCTCTCTCTCTTACTCTCTCTCTCTCTCTCTCTCTCTCTCTCTCTCTCTCTCTCTCTCTCTCTCTCTCTCTATATATATATATATATATATATATATATATATATATATATCCCTTACTTTCCTCTCACCCTCTCATTCTCTCCCTCACTTTCTCTCTCCTTCTCTCCCTCCCACCTTCCTTCCCCCTTCTCTCACAAAGTCTTTCTCTTTCTTGCATGGTCGTTGTAAAGCTTTTAAGTGTTGAGCTTCCCTTACCTTTCTTCTCCTCCACCCCCCCACCCCCCGCTACATTTCCCCACAAAAGAGAGAGAGATAAAAAAAAAAAAAAAAAAAAAACAGAATGATAAAGAGAGAAAAAGAAGAAGAGGGGAAAAAATGCATTTGATCGCAGCCAAACCCATTATCCTCATCTCTCCATTTCACGCCCATTAGGACTGACCCCCCCCCCCCACCCACCCACGCCCCCCCCCTTGTCCCATTAATCGCATCAAAGTTGGGAAATAATAGGATCATTTCCTCGTCCTGGACTTGATGTGAATTTTTTTTTTTTTTTTTCGTTATATCGGACGCCAGGTCGATTTTCCCAGATAAAAGCACGAAATAGAAAAATAGAATAAAGAGATATAAATCAACGAAACAGATATAAATCAGTGGGAAAAGATAGATAAGGAGAGAACAACAGACAAGGAATGAGTAATCATAAAAGACAATTCAAATAGATCAAAGCAAATGAACATGTATTTCTCATTTTCAAAAAAGCACGCCAACTAACTTTCTCTTTTTTTATATATTTTTTTTATATTTCCATTTTTTCGGTCGTGGTGGAGTGGGGAGTGGGTGGTGGGTAGGGTGGGGGTGGGGGGGGAGGGGTATGCGCTTGCAAACACACGTTATTGGACTTTGTTGTCTCGGGTGTCTGTCATGTCGCTAGCGCCGCCCCCTGTTATTGACGGCGCGGACCATACATGTGTGAACATTCATAACACAAAACTAAATACGGATAAAAAAACGTAAACACCTGCATGTACACATACACATGCGTAAACACACACACACATACAAAGGAGAGAGAGAGAGAGAGAGAGAGAGAGAGAGAGAGAGAGAGAGAGAGAAAGAAGAGAGAGAGAGAGAGAGAGAGAGAGAGAGAGAAGGAGAAGGAGAGAGAGAGAGAGAGAAGGAGAGAGAGAGAGAGAGAGAGAGAGAGAGAGAGAGAGAGAGAGAGAGAGAGAGAGAGAGAGAGAGAGAGAGAGAGAGAGAGAGAGAGAGAGAGAGAGAGAGAGAGAGAAGGAGAAAGAGAAAGAAAGAGAGAGAGAGAAACAGACAGACAGACAGACAGACAGAAGGAAGGGCCGGACGGAGCGCAGACAGCCCGACGGCTTTGATCTCCGAGGCAGCAAAACCGAAGCCAGTGGAGGCAGCTGTTGGGCGATATCTAATCCGTAAGTCTTTTGAATGCACACATTGCACGGGCCTCTTGCTGCGAAACGGATAAAAGAAAGCCAGTTTATGGACTTGTTTGCCCACCGAGAAAATTAGAAGTAGCGCTTGGAATTAATGTAAAAGCTTGAATTCCAGATGTTTAAGCTTAAACAAAAATCGTTTTGTGAACTGAATACACACACACACACACACACACACGTATATATATATATATATATATATATATATATATATATATATATATATATATATATATATATATATATATATATATATATATATATATATATATATATGTGTGTGTGTGTGTGTGTGAGTGTGTATGTGTGTGTGTAATATAATACACACACACACACACACACACACACACACACACACACACACACACACGTATATATATATATATATATATATATATATATATATATATATATATATATATATATATATATATATATATATATATATGTATATATCTATATATCTATATCTATCTATCTATCTATCTATATATATATATATATATATATATATATATATATATATATATATATATATATATATATATATATATACATATATAAATATATATGTGTATATATATATATATATATATATATATATATATATATATATATATATATATATATATATATATATATATATATATATATATATATATACATACACACACACACACATTTTGATATCATTTATTTTTCAAATTTTACACCACAGAAATATATCTCAATTTTGAGTGGATCACTTGATATCCTTTCTTTTCTTCAAAATGAACCTTAGAGCCTCAGGTCTAAGTCTCTTGTTCAGCGAAATGGCGGAGCAGCAGCAGCCATAGCCTCTGGTTAGCACGGACAAAATTAATGGGGAAGATACACCGCTTTTCTATTTGTTTAGGATCCCCATTTATGCAAATGTAGCTCCATGAAATGTGTGTGAATATAGGTTATATCTTTAAAAAACTCCTGCCATTAAGAACATCTGGATGTGCTGAAGTTCCTGGAGAGATAAAATATTTGAATTTATGTTAGACATATTTACACATATTATAGTCAAAGCCTGTTTTTTTATATGAATCTTATTTGGATAATTTTATTTTGGTTGATCTCTGTATTCTAATGGCTATGGATTTGTTTTTATTTGCTTTGTGACGAAATTCCTTACACTGTTCAATATGAACGTCATGTGAAACAATGTTATGTATAAATTTACATAGAAATATATAATAAATCACTTAATCTTCTAGTACAAATAATACTTGCAGCCAAGTGATAATAGTGTGGTAAGCTCCATTAAATGAAGGAATAGAGAAGAACAAAAAAAGGTGTGACAACATTCAGATTATTAGGAGTAATTAACATACTGCTAATATGTAATCATGTTCCTGATTATGTCTATGACAACCTTAACAATACGTGGCATACGACTTCTAGTTGGTGACAGCTCTCGGGAAATAGTGACAAACCGTGTGATAAAATTAGGATGTGCATTGGAAATAAAAGAGGAAACACAAAACGGAAAATAGAACAAAAAATCAATAACATTCTACTTTCAAAATAAAAAACTACGTGCAGGACTACGACTACAAAGTCTACTACGACCTACAACCTTCTCTCCAGACGGGGATAACTGACTTGGGAAAACCTTGTGTGATATTTCAGAACCCAGTTGAGGCCAAGGATTTAAGGGAGGGTTTAGAAAAGCCGTAATTTTTGTTTCGTTTTCTGAACCAAACCTTAAATACCATGCGCTTCCTTTACCGTGTCGAAATACCCCCAAAATCACGAATCGGTTACCCCTTGCCTTCTGGTAAAAAAAACACTACGCTTTATATACACCGAAAAAGGGACCGTGTGTATATAATTGTCCATGTTCTTTTTTACCGTATTGCTAGTTCTGTGGGTTCTAAAAAATAGCGATCTCGAGTATGTGCAAGTTAGACTATCTAATTGAATTAAACTGGACTTACCTTAATACCGACATACTTATGATAATACACCTATTTTTTTTTTCTTTTTTTTTTCGTCTTACCAACTACTTGTCATCTCCACCTTCCCATCCTCGCTATAAATAGTGTTCATGGCTTATACCTACTCAAAAGAATATAGAAGTATATGTCTAGACTTCTAAAGAAAAAATATGAAAAAATATCAGTGTATGCGTTCCATCCACACACTCTAAAATAAAGGTAAAAATGAAAACCAACTAAATGAAAAAGAACGCATCCTTTATCACACGTTTTTTTCTTTTTTTTGGGGTTAGTTAATTTTGTCTTTGTCTTTTGTTTTGGGATTAGATAATCTTGTATTTCTTCACGAGTTTTGTGGGGGTATCATGAGGCTATTTTTATCCCTATCTTCAAACTATAAACTAAGCAAAAGCATCAATGACAACGACCAACATCTTTATAACAATAAACATGTGTTAGTGAATAAAAACCAGCTACTATCAAAAACATCAAAGTGATATACAGAATTTACATAAAGTGAATAACTGTGTTTATAAATGTATGCATGTGCGTAACACCATTTCCTAAACATACACATACACATATACAAAGTGAGTGACCTGTGTCTATAAATATGTGTGTATCGATATGTGTACATGTGCGTAAAAACCTTTCCCTAAAGTACACATACACGTCGACACGGAATTCTTCTCGCAGACGGCCGTGTACACCTTAC